TTGTGCTAAAAACATTAGCATGTTGTATTTGTGGGGAAAATGTGTCCAGATAAAGACAAGTGTTTGTCTGTGAATGCTGCAAGTTATAGTGAAGCCAATTTGTGTGCTTGTGTTTGAAATTAAGGTCTCTATTAAGCCATGTTTTTGTTGTGTTTTGAATCAACTAAACTTCACAGAAACCCTGCCACCAATTACTGTTTTAGAGGTGCAGAGTGACACAGACCACAGCACAAGTATAAATGCTCACAACAGCATAGGCTACAGCACAAGGTTTGCTGCACAACTACAAATCCCACTTTAGGCTCGTGGGCCTGAGCCCAGTAGGCCCATTCAGTGATTCATCCATGGCTAAGATCCAGTAATTGGTATCAAACCTCCACAAATCAACATCTCAACAAAACCTTAGACACCTTTTAATGGAATACCACTAAACATGTTTGTAGAGAAACATTTTACTCAGTCATTACATTTGTTGATAGTGGCCATGTGAAAATATTACAGGAGTTATGCATGGATAGATCTGTAATATTGTCCTACTGCACAGAAAAGATTTGTTCTGAGAATGGAATAGAAAAATGACTAAACAACAGCACAGTCACACCACGAGTAAAATATGAAAACGTCTCTTCTGTATTTTCTCTTTAGGCTACCTGATTGTCCATTTTATCCACTTCCTGTTTGCTCTGCTGTTCGTCTATGCGCTGGTTCTTCCCATACAGCATGGAAAAGCACTGAGCATGCTCAGCAACCTGGGGCTTATACTGTAAGGCTGCTTTCTGTGGAGTTGTGGATATATGACTGCATGTGAATGGATGGTTAGATTGACAGATAAACATGTTGGTTGATTGATTTTAACCTTTCTCCTGTGTCTTTCAGTTTGACCATCACTCTGGTCATTGCCCTGGTTTTCCTCCAGATAGCTCTGGTTCAGATCTTCTTCCTTCAGGACAAAATGTCTCCAACTGATAAGCAGAAACCTCTGGCTATCAACAACAGGTTGGTATATTTCAATATAGATATAACGTAAGCACCGACCATGAGACCATCAAACCCAGGTCCTCCATTTGGCAGCAAACACTGACCACCGAAAAGGGAAGTGCTGGTAATAAAGGCCAAAACAGAAATTAGCTGTGGACTGTTTGATGACATAATGTGATGGTGAAGCACTTTCTCACTTAACCAGTGGTGTAAAGCAGCTTCAGTGACTTGCTGACACAAGCAGATACAGAATGAATATGTTACTTTTAATACCTATATGTTGAACGTTAATAGGACAACTGAATGTCATTCAAAGTGAATCTGTAGTAGCTGTAAATCACAGTTTCTCTTCCCTCTCTTCAGGAAGGCATTCCACTGCTTCAACTACTTCTTCTTTTTCTACAACGTAGTGATGGGGATCAGCAACTGCATAATGAGGCTGGTGTTCAGCATTGTGACAGGAACGTGGCTAGTGTCTCGCATAGACCGGACCATTATGCAGAGAGGATATGAAAACTTGGATGCTGGTAAGCTTAACTACAACCCAGGCTCATGTGAGACAAAACTTAAATATTGGTTCAAGGAGTTAAGACGTTAAATGTCACAGCCATTCATCCTTGAAGATCATTTTCTTCCAGGAGATGGCAGCATTTTACAAAACATCAGAGGAGTTTTTTTCATCAACACATATTGTTAAATGCACTATAAATTCAGTGCTATGTCTCATATATGGTGTGTGTGTGTGTGTGTGTGTGTGTGTGTGTGTGTGTGTGTGTATTTCTTGCATGTTCCAGGCTATGGTACTTGGATTGGGATGATCTTTGCTGACCACTACCATAATAATCCAGTCATGGTGTGTTTCTGCCAGCTGCTGGTCTATCACAAGCTGGAGAGCCACACTGCATCTATATACTCAACATTCAACAACCTGCAGTCCGGTCAGTACTGTGTGTGTGTGTCCGTGTGTGTGTGTCTATTAAATTAACAATCCTCCACAAAATAACTACTACTGCTACCACCTGGACACTATCAAAGATACACCAAGTGATGAAACTAGTAATTTTTTCTTTAAATTAGGTCCCACTTTATTGCATTTATGCATTTGTTTATCATAATTATTTTTTCTTAGTTTTTAGTTTATTAACTTTAAACTTTTTTACAGAATCCCCTGTGAATAGCCGGGCCAGGACGCGTTGGATGTTGGCTTATTCCCTACTGCGGAACCCTCATCTGATCCTGCTTAGGAAGCACCACCTCTCACAATCTTCATCAGTACAGTCGGACACAGTGGTGCAGGCTTGTGTCATGGCTTCTCAATCAAAGGAAGTTTTGCTACCAGAGATCGTAGTCACACCAGCAGAAGAGTCTTAAAGAAAAATTTTACATAGATTTTCATCTTGTTGTGACCATGTGGTGTTTTCGATACGTTTTTTTCATCTGACGAGTTATAATCTGATTAATGTGATCCATTCGTCCTTAGGAGATTTGACTTAAGGAAACTGTGAGAACCTGTATTGTAGATTGACTGTTTAAGTCAAGTTATGTTTTGAACTGCTGCACAGTATATGGACACGGTCAAGGTTAACTGTGGACCTTTGTACATAATCACAACAACCTCTCTGCCACATATTCTACTAACGGATGTGGTGCACTACAGCTGGCTGTTTATCAGCCTAAATATGTTTAATTTATTAAAATCATGTGAGCCACACCATACAGCCATTCTGCTTGTTATTCAAGGTTTTTGTTATAAATGTAAATGATAATAAATGTTTATACACAGCTGCTGTGTATTCTGAATGAACATACAATATGTGCTCTGCATACATTGGGCCTGAAAACAAGCATGTGTAAGTCTCTACTTGTAAATATGTTGTTTATATGCTGCAAAATAGAAATGGTAAAGCTGCATCAGTGTGAATGACTTAAAAGATGTCGAGGTGATTCTAATTAATGTTTTAATAATTTATTAGCTATGTTAGCTATATTTTTAATTCATTAGCTATGTTATAAGTACAAGTATGGAATGCTGAATGCTGATATTTCCGACACCACTTAAAAGCAG